ACCAGGCTGGAAACCAAAGTATACAAGCCAAAGACCAATGAGACAAAAATTTCTTCCAAAACCTGATGAACTGGAAAGAGCAGGTGGCTCTTGAAACATCAGATCCTGCTTCTGGTGATGTTCTTCCACTAGCAACTACATCTTCTACGCTTCCTCTAAGAGCATCACTAACTGGGGACCAAGTATTCAAATGCCTAAGGATGTGGGCAACTTCTTATTCAAGTTACCACATGACTTTGTGACCTTTTCAACCATGGGTTCTTGGCTAGATTTACAGTACCAAATATAAGCTCCTTCCAAGTGAACAGATATTTAGGTCTAATCAGACAGTTGTTTGTTGCCTCAAGATACAAGTCTCACTGTTGCACCATTGGGGATGTCTTGCTGATTCCATTGTGATTCTCAGGCTTTACAGCTTGGTTTCATATCATTTTTCCTTGGCAGTTTACATGGCAACTTCCAACACTATTAGAGGTAACCTGTAGTCAGCTAGTTTTCAGGTCAATACCAGCTTTATTTCTATGGCCCAAAGTGTGGTGTCTTCATCAGTAGGGTCTTATGTTCATGTTCTGACAGGCAACCAAGAGCAATGGACAATAGCTTAGATTGTTTGATGGTATGTCTTAGACAATAAAGGATATGGAGACCAACAATTTGAAGGAAAGTATCCCCTAACTGGCACTGGGATTTTTGTTAAATAATCATTGGCTTTTGTGGGATCATTATCTTGCCATGTAGAGGTTACTACATTGAAACTGTAATTTTAAGTAATCTTATAAAATACTAGTTTTTACTATGGCTTTTTCAAACACCATTTATTCTTCTTTCCTCCCTCCCCGTCTATATTAACTATTCAGTTAAGTCTCCCCCAATTTATCACTTACCATCATCATAGCACCTGTGCCCTATTAACTACCTTTCTAGAGTGTCTTCTCCACACCTCCCCCAATGGTCTGTTTCTTTTTTCCTGTCTTTTATGGTTGCTCCAGTTTGTAGAATATTAATATTTACTATTGATTTATCTTTTAGTTAAACAGCAGTTATTCCTAAACCAGCTGTATTCCCAAATCACCACACAAAGACTAGGATTTATTTAATTAACCTAGAGCACAATGCTGGACAATAGTTACTACATCCTATACCGCCAAGCCCGCATAGCTTCCTCCCATTCAGATTTCCCACATTATACTTGCTTTTAGTCATATCTTAGGTCTAGTTCATCTATCCTCATGGTTCCAAGTCCTGTCTTGCCGATCTTTCCTCTCCTACCCTCCCACTTGCTTCTTTCTCCTTCCCTCCTGACCAGGATGTCCCACTCTATTCTCTCCCTTGCTCAGCATTGGCTGTTGTTTTATTGACAATACAGAGAACAAATGATGACATGTTTACAGAAATGAGACAGGTGATGCTTAGAATAAATATCACAATGCAATGTCCAGATTAAAACCAGATAGTGTAGTAGAGAAATCAGCATTTGAATGAACAAGGGTAAATTGTATACATTTCACAAGAACATTATGCCAACACTCCAGGTTAAACACTCAAATTTAAAGATTCAGATTTAAGATCCCCAAATGAGAAAGAGAGACCATATGGTCTTTGTATTTCTGCATCTGGTTCACTCCACTCAGTATATTTTCCAGCTCTATCCATTTACTTGAAAAATCTATTTTTCTTTATATCTGAATAGAATTTCATTGTGTTTATGCCTCACATTTCATTACCCGTTCATCAACTGATGAACATCTAGGCTGTTTCCATTTCCTGGCTATTGTGAATAAAGCAGCAATAATCATAGATGAGCAAATACCTTTGTAGTAGGCCACAGAATCTTTTGGAAATATGCTCAGGAGTGGTGTAGCTGAACAATGATAAATCTGTTTCTAGTTTTTTGAGAAAACACCACACTGAATTCCATAGTGATTTCACTAGTTTGTATTTTAAAAGATTTAAAGCACTTTGGAGCAGTTTATGACAGTATAAAATTGTTTTACTTATTAGTAATGGAATAGAATTTAAGCCATTGAGAGGCTAGAATATTGGGAACTCATCTGCCTATGCATTGAAGATGCTGAGAGATAAGGGAGGGAAAGGTTGGATAAAATAACTTAGCAGTAGTTACTACATCAACAAAGGAGAAGAAATCACTTAGGAACCATAGAAACAAGGGAAATAGAGACCATGGCAACAATAAAGGATATAAGAACCATGGCAACAGTAGAGGGTATGGAGATCATGGTGACTAATAAGGGATATAGTATGATAACAGGAAATTCAAAGTGGTGTTTTGTAGAGAAGAACAGGGGAGAATAATATGAAAATAGCACTCCAAGCCAGGAGGGCAATGAAAGCAAAATCTATTGGTACTCGAGAAGTTTCCCATTTAAGCAGTATCTTTAGATAAAATGTACATTTTCATTGTAGAAATAACATGGAGGAAACTTTCAGAGAAGGGGTTTCTCACAGATAAGACCTTTGTGACAATGGACTAAAAAGTGTATAATGGAAGGGTTGCAGGAGTTGGGAGAAATGAGAACAGGATACAAAAGGGGGCTATCCAGAGCCTTTGATATTATTAGAGTACTAGAAATGAGGGAGTTTAACAATTTGGGGTTCTTTTGGTTACTGTTAAAAACAAACAAACAAAAAAACAAAGATAGGACTGGAGAGATGGCTCAGTGGTTAAGAACACTGGCTGCTCTTTCAGAGGACCCTGGTTCAATTCTTAGCACTCACATGGCAGCTCAACCCTGTCTATAATAGTTCCAGAGGATCTGACACCCTCACACAGACATACATGTAGACTACACACCAAATATACACAAAAAGTAATTCATTAAAAAGAAAACAAGGATAAAGAGACTTAGCAAAGTTGTGGTTGTGATAGGAAGCTGTGGGTTTCTTTTTCTTTTTTAATTGAAAATAGATCGTTTTGAAATTAAAATTTCAATAAATCTCCTCCCATCTGGATCCACACTCTTTTTGACTCTCATTAAAAAAACAGGCATCTAACAATAAATAAATGGGCCCTCATGAAACTGAAAAGCTTCTGTAAAGCAAAGGACACTGTCGTCAGAACAAAATGACAGCCTACAAACTGGGAAAGAATCTTCACCAACCCTATATCTGACAGAGGGCTAATATACAAAATATATAAAAAACTAAAGTTAAAAGCAATAAATCAAGCAATCTGATTAAAAAATAGGGTACAGAGCTAAACAGAGAATTCTCTGTAGAGGAATATAGAATGGCAGAGAAACACTTAAAGAGATGCTCAACTTCCTTAGCCATCAGAGAGATGCAAATCAAAATGACCCTGAGATTTCACCTTACACCCATCAGAATGGCTAAGACCAAAAACGCAAGTGACAACACATGCTGGAGAGGTTGTGGAGAAAGGAGAACCCTCCTCCACTGCTGGTGGGAATGTAAACTTGATTAGGAATAGTGCTTCCTCAAGATCCAGCTATACCACTCCTAGGCATATATCCAAAAGATGCTCAAGTACACAACAAGGACATTTGCTCAACCGTGTTTGTGGCAGCTTTATTCGAAATAGCCAGAACCTGGAAATAACCCAGATGTCCCTCAACAGACGAATGGATACAGAAATTGTGGTACATTTACACAATGGAATACTACTCAGCAATAAAAAACAAGTACATCATGACATTTGCAGACAAATGGTGGGATCTGGAAAAGATCATCCTGAGTGAGGTATCCCAGGAGCAGAAAGATACACACAGTATATACTCACTTATAAGTGGGTACTAGATTTATAAGATAGGATAGCCATACTAAAATCTGTACACCCAAAGAAGATAAACAAGAAAAAGGACACAGGTTAAGATGATCAATCCTCACTTAGAAAGACAAATGGGATGGACATTGGAAGTAGGAGAAAACAAGTAACAGGACAGGAGCTTACCACAGAGGGCCTCTGAAAAACTGTACCTAGCAGTGTATCAAAGCAGATGCTGAGACTCATAACCAAACCTTGGGCAGAGTGCAGGGAATCATATGAAAGAAGGGGGAGTTAGTATGACCTGGAGAGGACAGGAGCTCCACAAGGACCAAATATATCAGGGCACAGAGGTATTTTCTGAGACTTTTTCTCCAACCAAGGACCATGTATGGATATAACCTAGAATCCCTGCTCAGATGTAGCCCATGACAGCTCGGTATGCAAGTGGGTACCCTACTAAGGGGAACAGGGACTATTTCTGACATGAACTCAATGGCTGTCTTTTTTTACCTCCCTGCCTCCCTCCCCGAAGGAGGAGCAGCCTTGCTAGGTCACAGAGGAGGACATTGCAGCCAGTCCTGAAGATACCTGATAAGTTAGGGTCAGATTGAAGGGGAGGAGGACCTCCCCAATCAGTGGACTTGGAAAGGGGCAGGGAGGAGATGAGGGAGGGAGGGTACGATTGGGAGGGAATGAGGAATGGGGTAAGGCTGGGATACAAATTAAATAACCTGTGATTAATATAAAAAATAAAAATTATAAAAAAAAGAAAACAAGCTTCTAGAAAGGGGAGGGGGACCACCCCTATCAGTGGACTGGGGGAGGGACAAGGCAGAAGAAAAAAGGGAGGAAGGGCAGGATTGGGAGGGGACAAGGGAGGAAACTACATCTGGGACACAAAGTGAATAAATTGTAAAATAAGTAAATAAGAAAAATAATAAAAAATTAAAAATGGGCATCTAAGGAATAATAAACATACAGTACAATAGGATAAAACAAAAATAAACAAATTGGAATAGGACAAAACAAACAGAATAAAAAGAGCCAAAGGAAAAACAGAAGTGAGTTTCTGAGAATAAAATGAATCTGTTTTCTTTTTGTCAATGGATTATAGCTTCATTCTACAGTGTTAGAGAGTTCTTTTGAGAAAAAATAAGGAATATATTTATTTGTAATAGTCAGGAATATAAACAATGTAATCAAAGCATCACTTTCTTTAAGATGTAACTTAGTATACTGTGTTTGTTCCTTTTAGAATGGACAGCAGTTTGTGTCAAGAAAAGCCTTGGAATATTTATCTCAACTTTCAGAAGACCCAAAGGAAGTACTTGGAGCTTTAAAGTAATAAATTCACGTTTTCTGGACGTGTGAAGATTTCTCTCCTCTCCTTAATCTTAGTTACAAACTTCGCCAAAACAGTGGTGATATTAAAGCCGTAAGTAAGAAACAGTAACAAAGATGTTCAGTTAAAAAAAACAAAAAGAGCAAAGGTTAGTGCTTGAACTTTGTTTCCCATTCTTCCTTTCTACAAAGAAAAAAAAAAAACATTTGTTAGAAGGGATCTTTTACATGCAATACTGAGAGTCACAGTGGAATGTGAGAACACTATAGTTTTGAGTGTGAAAAATAAGAAACCCAAAGCATTTGTTCCACTTCTTGTCAGCTCTACTTCACGCAATGCTTCTAACAGGAAATAGAGTGATTGATAGAATTATTTCTGTCAGAAGTTGAGATATCACCACGCACTCAATCAAATATAGAATATCATTCAGAACATATATTATTTCTTTTTCCATGTACTATTTATTTTTTTCCACTGTTGGGTCTAGAACCTAGGGCTTCATCCATTCTTGGGAAGCAACAACTCCAGCCATGCACTGGTCTTGAACCTGCTTCTTTTATCTCCTGAGTGCTGCAGTGACACTCAGGCACTATCGCCCGTGACTTTCCAGCCCCATCATTTCATTTAATTTTATTATTTTAAGTTTTACTTTATTTTATTTTATAAACAGGATCTTACTATGTCTCCCAGAGTAACCTTAACCCCCAAACCCTCTTGCCTCAGTCTCCCAAATGCTGATATACACAGGTTTAACACTGTACTGGGCTCAGATAATATCTCATAAAAAAGCACTTTCAGGTTTCAAGTTATCAACTACTTCGTCATATCATTTTTTAATAATGCTTCCAGATCCCTTCAAAGATTTGTGGTTCTTTCTTCTGATACTCAAAAAACAATTATAGGCAGTGGACTTGGAAAGGGACAGGGAGGAGTGAGGGAGGGTGGGAATGGGAGGGAATGAGAGAGGGGGCTATGGCTGGGATACAAAGTAAATAACCTATGATTAATATAAAAAAAACAATTATATGTTTCTGACAGAAAAAGCTAAAGAGTTGTTCACCATACTTGACGTTTCTGTACTGATATGAACATGGAACTGTTTAATAGCTTATTATAAATAATACTTTTGTTTTTAAATTAAAATTTTACTTCTAAAATCATAAAATTTATGTTTTTATTGCAACCTTTAAAACAATACAATGATCTACAGATAAGACTAATTTAACCCTCTTTTCTCGTTTCTGCATCCTGGGATAATTATAGTTAATAAATTGGTACAATATCTCTGACCTATTTCTTCCTAAGAATCTCTTTTACTTGCTTACTCTTGGTTTAACCCTCATTCTCTTCTACCCTCGTTCCCTCCATTTCTTTCTTCCTTGTGTACACTGCTATGGACAGAGTCCAGGGCCTGTATCCTAGCTTACTTTCTATTGCTTCGATGAAACATCATGGCCAAAAGGTACTTGAGGAAGAAAGAGTTTGTTTGATTTACATTTCCTGATTACAGTCTATAGCTGAAGGAAGTCAGCAGAATCTGAAGGCAGGAACCTGGATGCAGGTACTGATGCAGAGGCCATGGAGGAGTGCTGTTTACTGGCTTGCTCTTACAGAACCCAGATCCACCAGCCCAGGATGGCACCACCCACAATGGGATAGGTACTCCCCCATCAATTACTAATTTTAAAATGCCCTACAGCCTGATATTATGGGGGTATTTTATCAACTGAGGTTCTCTCCTTTCAGATAACTCTAGTTAAAAAAAAAAAAAACTAGAAAAAAAAACTAGCACAGCCTCACACATATTATGCAAGCTGGATCACTCACCTTTAAGAATCATCTTACATATTGCTTTTTTACACAGGTGTCTTGTTCAAATTATTCTTCCACAAGTTTCTCATATGCCGGAATCTGAAAATAAGTAAGTTATTTCAAGAAAAAATTATGGATTTACCATTAGAAAACTTAGAGTAGCTTTAACTGCAGACCTTACATTGAAAGATAAATTATGTAGTGAATGAAATTAATATATATATTTCATATTTTATATGGTTACTTATGAGATCTATACCTTAGATAAGTTCTTATCATTTCCTTCTTTCAGTTTTTCCATCTGTAAAATGGAAATGATACCAACGTTTGCCTCCTGGAGTATCTGTAATTGCTCAGGGAATTAATATATTAAAAGGTTAAAATATGAAACCCATAGGGAAATCATTCTGTAAGTAAATATATGAGTGCTTGGCAGTTTATAAGTCCTCATGTTTTACATATGACTTGATTATGTTATCATATCTGTTCCCCTTTAACAGTAGACCCAATGGAAATTCACAAAGAACAAATAAATAATGTTGTGAAGAGTTGCTAACTCTTTTCTCTATCATGTCAGCTAGGACATAATAAAGAAATATATTTTTCCTCACAGTTCCCATGGTATAAGATATCAAGAAATTAACTATTTATAGAAGGATTTTGTCACCAATTTTTCATGCATAAACTCACTGCTTCCTGATGAATTAAAAGAAAAAAATTAAATACCAACAAACTGAACAATCCAATTAAAAAACGGGGTACAGAGCTAAACAGAGAATTCTCAGCAGAGGAATCTCAAATGGCCAAGAATCACTTAGAGAAATACTCAATGTCCTTAGTCATCAGGGAAATGCAAATCAAAATGACTCTGAGATTCCATCTTAAATGCATCAGAATGGCTAAGATCAAAAACTTAAGTGACAGCACATGCTGGAGAGGATGTGGAGAAAGGGGAACCCTCCTTCATTGCTGGTGGGAGTACAAACTTATACAAGCACTTTGGAAGTCAATCTGGAACTTTCTCAGAATATTGGAAATAGCTCTACCTCAAGACCAAGCTATACCACTCCTGGGTATATACCGAAAAGATGTTCCATCATACCACAAGGACATTTGCTCAACTATGTTCATAGGAGCTTTATTCATAATAGCCAGAATCTGGAAACAACTTAGACGTCCCTCAGTTGAGGAATGGATAAAGAAATTGTGGTACATTTACACAACGGAATACTACTCATCTATTAAAAACAAGGAAATCATGAAATTTAAGGCAGACGGCTGTAACTAGAAAAGATCATCCTGAGAAAGGTAACCCAAACCCAGAAAGACACACATGGTAAGCACTTACTTATAAGTAGATTTTAGCCATGTAGTACAGGATAACCAGGCTATAATTCACAGACCCAAAGAAACTAAGTAACAAGTCTCACTTAGAAGGGGAAATAAAGTAGACAGCACAAGTGGTTGAAGAGAGGGAACAAGTTAGGAGAAAGAACACAGGAGGACTGAGGGCCTGGAGAGAGAGAGAGAGAGAGAGAGAGAGAGAGAGAGAGAGAGAGAGAG